ACTTGCTAAATAAATATTTGATCCAATTAACTCGGTTTTGCAGGTGAAATACGATAAATATTTGAATGGATGTGAAATATGTGAATGGATATGAAATATGAGATGGTTGTGAATGTGTGGTTGTGTGAAATATATTGATGTCTGTGTATGTGAATGCATATGTATGAATGGGTGATGCTGGGGACCTAGGAATATTGGATATCTGTGTTTGTTTCTGTCATTTTTGCACGGGCATGGCTAGCAAAGGCCTAAGGCTAGCAAAAAAACAAAATTTATTTTTTTTGTGGATTATACTCATCTGTGACGGGCCATAACTAAATGCCCGCTTGAGATGATGTTTATTTGTGACGGGCTCTAGTTTAGACCTGATTGAGGTCAGCAGTCATATGTGACGGGCTCTAGTTTAGGCCCGATTGAGGTCAGCAGTCATCTGTGACGGGCTGTAGTTTAGGCCCGATTGAGGTCAGCAAACATCTGTGACGGGCTGTAGTTTAGGCCCGATTGATATGAGTGTCATCTGTGACGTGCTCTAGTTTAGGCCCGATTGAGGTTAATAGTCATCTGTGACAGGCTCTATTTGTGGCCCGATTGAGATAGGTCATCTGTGACGGGCTATAGTTTGACTGGTAGACTGGGTCAAAGCTATCGGTGACGGGCTTCAATTAGGGCCCGATTGAGATAGGTTCATCAGTGACGGCCATTTGCCCGATTGAGATTACTTTTCACATCAGTGACTTCTAGCCTGTGACGGACGCCGTGCCCGATTGAGATGAGGGTATCTGTTCTAGTGTTAATAAATATTCACTCAACTCCTTGATTGCTTTGAAGCTTTATAGCATAGGGTACAAATAAGCCTTACATGTGTGTTGAGATTAGGTGCTCGTTATATAGTCCTTTTTAGGCTTCCAAGTTTCCCAATATTTTCATTTACAGCAGAAAAGGCCTGCTTTGCCTATTTGTCAAAACAAAGGATCTGATCAATATTTTCTCAGATGGAGTAGCCACCAGTTTGGGTAGAACCATGGATGCGTTTTGAAATCACGAACTGCCTAATAGAATAGGTATCCTCCCAATTAAAGAATTGATGGTATTCATATTTAATGTACAAGTTGCCATGTGCCAAATTGTCGTAGGCTCTCCGGACCTTCCATTATATTTGAGAGATGAAGTGAATAATTCAAGTCATCAAACAAGCATAATGAAACATCCGACACCTCGAGAGAGGAATATTGGAGACATTGCTGGGCCCTTAGCCTGCCAGTCAACTTCAGCCTGAGATGTGCCCGTCAAACCACTCGAAGGCGGCGACCAGATGTGTTACACATTCAGGAGACTTGACAAAAATGGCTAAAGATCTACAACCTCTCAAATATTCCTAACTCATACTCATGTGAATCTAGTTCCCAGGATGTGCACTAGATTCACACTTTCATCTTAAGCATGATTATACATAGCAAACACAACTAAGATGAAAGAAACTTAAGACTTACAATAACTTAATAATTACATAGGCCAACCGGCCAAATAGACTTATTAGAGAACAGCGGAAGCTTGACTACCCAATCACAAGCACACCGACTAGGGGTTTACCCCATTAAGTTCTCATCCTAGAAGAAGCAATCGGAACCCGCATCACTCAAAGACTAAGACTAAACCTGCAAACAAAAGGTTATATCAACAGCAAGAGTCAGTACATTAAACAAGTTAATGTACTGGCAAGCACAAGTCAATCCTACCATACTACATGTAAGGCATATATTCAAAGGAAGGCAATATGTAGATCATTTTCAGCATAAAGCAAGTTTTGTTTCGCAATTCTTTTGTAAAAGAGTTGATGCTTCAATTAACAAAACAAGTTTTAAGTTTTAACATTAAGTTCATCATAATTCCATCATAATCAATCTCTTGTTGTCATCCTTGACAACAAGTCATAATATATCATCACACTCACACAACTCAACACATTTTATCAATTTCAAATCAAGTCACATGTTCACATTTTAAATCATAAAGTCTATACTCATGACACATCACCAAAGCGCTCATGACCGTGAGCACGGCTAATCGATTAGTTTAAAGAACTCTGCAGAGTTTGTACAGCTTTACCCACATGATATGAACTCTCTAGTTTGTTTTGAGTTTGCAAGACTCCATCACACTCTTCATGTTGAATGTGATCTAGAGGTCATAACGAAGCCTTTACACTACTTAGAGCCTAGCCTTGCACCAGCACGATACGTGTTCCTCCATCCTAGGCATACTTGGAATATACCTAGAACCGTTAAGTGGCGGGCCCACGCCTTAAACTTAACGCCGTGGTGGCGGACACGACGGGAACCCACCACGTGGCACAATACCGTTGTATTGGACAGACTTAGTCACCTAAACTACCACGTCGGGGCAAATAGGAAGTTCCTCTGAATCATCGACTAATTCCTCAGAATTATCGACTAACTCATACACACCGGCCTACCAGAATGCAAGGCTAGTCCTAAATAGATTAATCAGCTTAGGCCATCCCATACTAGCACATGTGGATGTACGAATAACTTTAAATGGGTGACACAAGTTCGGTCCTTATGGACTTGGGCAAACACTTCCCCTATCGGTATGCAACTAACACCATATGCACACCACTTGCCGCCCAAGTATAAAATCACATTTTACACATTTTAATTCGCAAATACCCATCATATTCATTTTATTCCAGCAAAGGTTCAAGTATCAAAACCACATTTTAATTATAGATGGAATGAGCATTTGCATATTTCTAAGCATGGCTAAGCAAGTAATTGCACATAGAGCATATATAAATCCATTTGAGCACAAAGAGTGTACTCTAACCATTTCTAGGGGTTCAAACAGCAAGAGGATCAATTATTCAAGGTGGAATATGCAGCAAATAGGTCATAACTACCTTAACCCAATTTCAAATACCGATATAGTCTGAGTTCACATGCAACTTTGCAAACAAATATTTTCATTCCTCAAATCATGGGATTCAATGTGTTCAAAGGATGGGAGGAGAAAACTTGCCTTGATCAGAGAATTGTTAGCACCTAATCCACTTCTTCACCGATTATGCAATTATCTAGATAAAGGACACGATATGCAATTAAACACCGAAAGAGCTGAAAATCCAAAATGCTCTAAAATGCATGATTTATGCACAGTGGGTTGGTACTGATCTAAAATGAATTTAGGTGAAAGAATTTTTATTTTATCTTATTCCATTAGGGAGTTATGAATTTTTAGAAGTTTTATCGGTTTATAGTAGTATAGTCTTAGGTAGTGTTATGAAATACTTTTGTAAAGTGATTTTTATTAGATTAGACTTCACAGGGGTGTGAAGATGTGTTTTCTAAGACTAACACATTTGGTTTCACAATTTTTGGAGTTATAATGATTTTCTTATAGATTTTACAAGTTACAACGTGTTTTAGGCATATAGTGTTTTATATGTGCATGACTTTTGAGTGATAGGTTCAGAACATGCTACTTCCTGTTTAAGTTGAATAAAAGGAATAATTTGGTTAACTAAAACATTTTTAGTTCACATGTTTATGATCTTTACTAGTATGGTTCATATTTTATAAACTAGAGATGCTCTAATCTAAACTAGCAATATATTATATTAACCTAGAAATTGTTATATGAGCTAAGTTCTTCTAATTTTAGTGGATGAGGATGGAACTATGGATTCACTGGTCAATTAAGTTTTTATTTAGGTTTAATTAGACCTAAAGTGTATATATATACTTATACATGTTTATGTATTACTTAAACAACACTATGTGTTTAAATTCTTATTTCACTAAGTTAAGGTTTTAATCAATGTTCTCTACAAAAGGTGCCAAATTTTATTTTACTATATTGAAGATAACTATTTGCTGGTTCTATAGAAACTTTGTTCATTTCATTTGGACTAAAAATAAATTTTCTACAAGTTTTACAAATTAAAGGCTGCTCTATGTTAGTAAATCCTTATATGAATATTTAGAGACTTTTTCTACACAGTAAGTATATAATCTTATTTCATAACTTGGAAATACATATTTTAGCGATCCTACAGAACTTAAGTTTATTCAAATTGAAGCTAAATTGGGTTCTACATGAATTTCTAAAGTTTAGCTTATCTAAAACTAATCATTATAGAGATAATAGTTTTAGAGGCATTTGATGCAAAGTAAGTCATTACTTTTATTTAACCTAATCAGAGAGTGTCTGATGATGAATCTGCAGTTTTTGAGTTTGTTTCAAAATGAGTTGAAATGAATTTTCTATGTATTTTATAAGTTTGTACATGTTTTATGCATGACTTATCTTAGATAAATCTTAGAGACATTATTTGTACAGTGAGTGTCAAGTTTTATATTCCTGGAATAAAGTTCATAACTTCAAGAATCTACAGCAACTGGAATCACTTCAAAATGAGCTATATTTGATTTTATATAGATTTTACAACTTTGTGCATTTTTCTGCTAAACATATAATTGTTTGGGCATTTTCCTAATTTTTCTTCAGATTTTAAAGGATGGGTCCACATGGCTGTGAGGGACCAATATGCACAAAGGCCCTTGAGTTTTCTAGGAATCAACCCGCAGTCCTAGGCCCATATGTCAGTTACTAACATTTTACGCAAAAACCCCTGGTTTCTCGGGAAATAGATCCCGCAGTCCCCTAGTTTTAGGTTTGTATGCAAAACGATGCTTGAGTTTTAGTTTATTTACAGATTATTACTGGTCCTACTTGTAAGTGACTGTTCCAGTTGTTAATACATCCCTGGGAGTCTTTAAATTTCAAAAGCCATGCCCTTGCTCTGGACAGAGCAGAGCAGCAGCACAGCCGCGAGCTTCACAGCATCACCAGTGGCGAACAACGGCGATTCAGCTTAAGCTCCCAAAACAAAAAGTGTAGAGAACAACCGTGCGAACCTATTGGCTCACCAAGAATCAAGAACCGTGCGAACCGTGAGAACTACTAGGAGGCTCACCAAGAATCAAACGCGGCTCGGCGAAGTCTTGGCGACGGTGTACTGGTTCGGCGACGGCGCGACTGCTACGGTCGTCGTCGACGGTGTACTCCCGGGCTTCTACTGCATATAGAGGGTGCATGCTTCGGTTTAGATCAGCACAAGGTAGCTCTAGGCGAAAAAGATTGCGCCGAAGCTCACCAGAGAAGGAGAAAGAAAGGAATGGCGTCGGCGGCCAGAGTTGGGAAAAAAGAAGAGGATCTCCCACCGTGGTCCACCTCGCGTCGATTCCTTCGGGATTCTTGATCTACAGAGGTTGATGAAGCTCGTGGCGAAGTGGCTCAGCTTGTCACGAACCGTGGAAGCTGGGCGACGAGCAAAGGCGAAGCAGCGGCGTCCAGAGCGCGACGGTGTTCCGAGTTGACGCGGTCGCGTTCCCGGAGATTGGCTGCACTAAAAGAGGCGTTCTTGGTGGCGTTAGAGACGGCATTCAGAGGGAATTACAGAACGCTTATTGAACGGAAATGGAGCTCACCGGATTGCGACGGCGTCGAGGACTTCTCTCACCGGCGCCGGAGTTGGCACCCCCGTTCCCGGCGAATCCGAGGCGGGGTACCTCGGTTCTTCCGCGAAACGAGACAGGGGCGAGAGAGAGTGAGAGTTGGTCGGCCGGTCGGGTTAAGTACGGTCGCCGGCGGAGATGGGGAGGAGGAGCTCGCCCTCTTCCGCGCTCAACGCGTGCTCACACGCGTGGCGCGCGGGGTCTGAGTCGTGGGCCCGTGTGGAGAGGGATGTGAGGCTGACAATGGGGTCCCACTAGGCAAGAGAGAGGTGTAGAAGGAGGAAGTGTTGGACAGGGCTGAACCTAGCCTAAGGCACTGACAAGTGGGGCCAACTCGATGGAAACTAGGCCAGGGAGAGAGATATGGGTAGAAGACCGGTAAACTTGATTTTTAGATTAATTTTCGGAATTATTTTCTCCTCTAACTTTGTAACTACATAATTCAATGTGTGGACCAAATTAATTAGTGCTGATTTTACTGGAGGTAAATGATTACACCTAGATTCCATTTTATTTGGTTGCACTCAAAAATAATGGGTGGACTGCTCACAAAAAATAAACAAAGATGGGCTATTAGAAAGCTAGATTGAATTTTTAGGAGGCTTAAACAGAGAAGGAAAATTCTAGAAAAATTACATTTATTCATGATAACTAATCTAGTATTTGAATAAATTATTTTCCATGTTCACTTATGTGCAGTTAAATGTACTTTTGGATGAAATATGGTTTTAGCCGATTAAAATTTAATTTGATTTCTTTTAGTTGTCTGCTTCGACCGATTAATTTGAGATATCAACTTGAGTGTTAACACGTTACCAAATTACGGAGGATAAGTTTGTGCTAATCATTGTCCACATTAATTTTTCCATGATTTTATCTTGCACAAAATATTTTAGAGAATTAAGTTGACCTTTATTTGTATATGTGTTCCCACTTCATAATTGCATCTAATATTATTATAGGGATTACATTAAACTTCTTTTAGACTGAGAAGATGATATTTGAGTTTAATATTAAGTCCACATGTTATCACCCAAGATTAACAGATTAACTATAGGTTTGTTTAGTGAAGTAATTCTTTTAGATTATGCTCATGGGACCTATTATGGAATGCAAGACCAAAACTCCAAATGCACAAAGAACTCGAGCCTAGGCATGCATTATGTACATGTATGCTTGATGACATTTCTAGTCTAATGTTGGGAATGAAAAGATTTTATTTTGTTCTCAAATTTTAATCATGCAATGGATTAAGTTGGTCATCACCTAAATTAAAACGGAAATTTTTGGCTCTCAAAATTTGGAGAAGTTAACCTCTAACTAGTTTGACAAGAAATTTTAAGTCCTAAAATTTCGGGTATGTTACACAAATATGATTATCGATAAAATGAAAGATTGCCCATGCTGAGTGAGATACAGATTTTGTATTGCGCTTTTGACTTTTGATGTTGGTAGTTGTAGATGTAGGGATTCAGTTGATAGTTAGCCATAGAACTCGAACTTGCCATATACCACGTGGGATAGCCGTGTGCAGTGCAATCATGCGTTGCAATTTGTCAGTCACAATCACTGGGATGCATATGTGTGGAATAACTTGAAGAAAAGACAGATTCAAGGAGGTTACATAGCCTAGATTTGATTTATAAGGACAATCTCCAGAGAATAGCATTGCTTGGGATAAGTAATGGTCAATTTCGCTTAACTGAAAGAATAGTATTGTTTTAGCTGCATGATTTTTTTTGAAAAGGGCGTCTAATTATTAAGGACAAACAAAGAAGATTACCTTTTTGCCTTCTGTACTACAAGGTTTCGACAGAGAAAATGTGTTTTCTTCCAGCACACTAACATGATCAGCCAATGATGCTATGAGATTTAGATGAGTCCTCAAGTCAGCTTTCATTTCTGCATGTTGTTCCTGGATGCCAGTCAGTTTTTTCTGCAGTTACCTTTTTGCCAATTATTTCTATTGGATTATGTATAGTTTATGTGACAGTATTTGTTACCCGAGAGCCCAGTCAGGGGTTATTTTCTCGATAGTGGCAGGGCTCTTGTAGATCAACTAGAGGGGAACGCGCGCTTTGCGGGCTGCACCATTGGTGCCATTAGAGAGAATCAGTGATTACATAAGTTCTGGTAGGTAGCTAAAACAATGTTCTTTGTAAGTTCAGTGAAGGACATGTATAAGTATAACGATATGTTGTATGCAAATTGTGGACAGTAAGTACATAACAAAACCTGCCATTTGTTTGATTACAGGATAGGCAGTACATGGTAGCTTTATAGCAGTAGCATTGCAACAGTTCTGCTAGATGAGCACATACAACTACATTACAGATGGCTAAATTCTAATGTGGTTTGGATGCTTTTGCATTAATTGCCCTTTCCCCCATGAATTCAGAGGATTGCATTACTGCTTTACTGCAAGGGCCTTCTTGTTGATGTGCAAACGGAAGGCACACATTTTTTTTTACTACGATGAATTGCTTCCACTTATGCATAGTTACTCGAGAAGTGCTGCAAAAATACAATTTTTGTGTCAATACTGGGAGTCAACAATCTTGTGGCATTGAACTACTCAACAATATTAGTCCTCTCCTAATTTTCTTTTCCTGAATGTGAATAAAATAAGTTAATGGAGTTATTTTTGTGGCATATGTTAAATTGTAAGGATGAATGCAGTAGTGGTGTAATATGTGAATTAACCTAAGGAGCACCAGCAGGTACTATACCAATTTTAGACCAATATAAGGAAATCAATCAAACATCTCAATGACAGGGAAACACAAAAAGGTTTTCAAAACCGAAGTAATGATTTATCCATACTAAAAACACAACAAACATGTAAGCAACCTAAATTGTTCTCTTAGTAATTTTCTCATAATCATGAAAGTGAACCAAATAATTTATTCAAGAACATATTTATCCAGCAAATAAAGTTGAAATGGACAGGATTGTAAATGTCAATCTATCAAGTTAAACTATTGGTTTTGGGTTGTGCATCTTTTACATAGATTATAGGTATGCGATTTTAATACTTAATACATTGCAAGCACAACATTTTTGTGAGCAGATACTATCAGTATGTTTAAAGGAATATCATGAAAGTTCAAGCTAGTCAAATACATAATTTGGTTACAAGGGCAACACTCAACGTCAACTGAAGCTTTATGGTAGCACGACATGTTGGTTACCTATTGTTGACCACCTGAAATGATGATGAGCAGAAACAAACCAACTCTGCTTCCACCAATTCCTACACCTATAAAAAAAGTAAATTACTTATGAAAAGATCACATCATTTAGTATGTGTCCAAATTGTCCAGCACACTATCGCACAGCCTATAGCTTAACAATATGTCACTTACTTAAAAAGCAAGCTGCCCTGCTGAAAGCTCAGAATGAGAAATGGCACTCAGCAGCAGCACCAATAGAATGTTAAAAAGAGTTAATATATAAGCAAAGGCCTAATCAAAGTGCAAAATTAGCCCATTTGGAAATGGGCTGAACAAATAACTTGTACTATATAAAATAAATATGTAGTTTGTTCGAAAGGGGAAAAAATTGTCTTGCAAGCAACTGTGCCACTGTCCTAGCCATCATATAAACTACATCATACTATGTTTTCAACTTAATTTGTAGAAAAGCAGGGACAGGTAAGCAAAGCTTTTGCTTTAAAGTCGCAATGGACAGATTGATTAATTGTATACTTGTTTCACCAGAGAGAACCAGTAGCTAATAATAGAGGTTATATCTTAAAAACTTCATATAGCTAGCTTGTCTTAAAAATAATTACATAGTATTTTACAAACTTTTGAATGATATTTTCAATTTTACCTTGAATTAAGGGAGGTAGAGGTAAAAAATAGTACTAAATAGTTGGTGGAAAACATATACTCCAGATGAAGGGCTATATTAAATCTTTTGAAGATTGCTTTTGTTCCCTTTCCTCCAGGCTGCTTTTTGTCCTAATAAGATGCAATACAACAAACATGTGGAGTGCAGTGTAAGTGATAGGGAAATGATTCATTGGCAAGAGAAGGGAGAAGAGTGCATAACTGTATATCGTTTGCCATCAGCTATGTCCAAATATGCCAGATTGGGGCGATCCATCCCTGCAGCTCTTCAAGCGAAGAACCATAAAATTAGTTTAACAGTGGGCCTATAAAACGTAATCTGGTAGTTTTCTTCTGTCAGGCTAGCAACACATTTTATGATAAATAGACTCTACAACCCCAGAAATAAACACTCCATATATTAACGGGCATATTTAAGAAAAAAGAACATTGGAAAATCCATTTGTTGTTTTAAATTTCCTGATGTCTATTAATATGGGTTTTCATCCTTTGATGAACAAAAGCACATTAGTCCATCATGGATTTAGAGCCAAACCACTTCCAAGAACATTTTAGGTGGGCATATTTGCAATTGAATGAACACACAAACCCTATAGTGTTTTGTTCTTATGTATTTACAAATACAATTTTGGTCAAATTTATACAATGAAGCAAGCATAAGAAAGCAACAAGAGGCAAGCACATGCACCTTGTCAATTGTGGAGGCCTTCTTGGAGTTGAAGGTGGACGTGCAAGTGTGGAGGCAAAGTGGAAGGACAGCTTGAAGCCAACCGCTGGTCCACGATTTTCTGGAAGTACCGCTGCGGTGGATGGAGGCATCCTTGCTCTGCCCTGAACTCCCTCTCCTTTTTTACTCTTCCATAGCTATTAGCTGCTGCGAAGGAAGCAATTCCATAAACACATAGCTGCTACCAATGAAAATATTGTTCAGCAAAGGATGAAAACAGATAGACTACTTAGGAATTTATTGAACAGTTTCAAATATCACACCATATGATGAGCTAACAAAATAGTAATAATCAATCATCACTAGGTTTAGCAAAAAGAAATTTAGCTGCGAACTTCTGTTCCAATTATTTTTCTATATTTTCATGCAAATTTAGAAGGAATTGTATTAATTGCACCAAAAATAGTCAATGATCTGAAATCAGGAAAGATCTACACATATACAAAGCAAACCTGAAGACATTTTTTTATCAAGAGTGCAGCATCATTTTTTTCTAGATGGAAGGGTCGGATTAAATTTAAAACGGAAGTGCAGTATCACACAGCTGGAAGAGTGACAAGCATGATTAGTGCCGCGCCAACATCGAGAATCAGATTTAACAAATACTTTCCACCAAACATACGCAGCTCGACCACTCGCTGGTTGGCCCTGCATACACCTCTGCTGTTGTACTATTAAATGAACTCGCCATCCATTCCTAGGACCAGAGTGGGTAGCCATACAGCCATGTTGACCACGAGTTAAAACATTTAGATCAAACTGACAGGTGACATTTAGGAGCTAATGCATCTAAGAACTACTTTAGTTCTAACTTAATTGGTAAAAAATTTAATCACTCACCATATTATCTGAACATAAAAAATTGACACAAAACACTAAAACCAGAACTTCAGTCCTATATTTCAACTGTATTATCAGCATTGAATGAATAAAATGTAGTATGTACACTGCTAGTAAATGGATAAGAGGAGCACTTTTTAGTGGCTCCTGGTTGTTCTAATGGAATATAGCTTATAGTTCTCAGTAATGGAAATAAAAAATTCTGAGTAATTGAAAATCCAAGCAAATTTAACACTTGAACCACGTCAAGGAAAGAAAAGGATACAGAAACAGATATATACCTATGCAAGATCCCCAAAGCACTTTTTGTAACTTTGCATGATTAATCTATTGACAAATGCAATGCAGGACTTTATTCACTATCACATTAGTAAGATAAAGGAATAAATTGAATCACTACTGGTCGTGAATTGGAAGCCCAGCCTGGGCATAGTAATACATATTCGAGAACAAAAGATGCACAATAAATTTGAAGTTTTCAAATTTGAATTGAATGACATCTCAGCAAATGTACTACATCCACTACATAGTAGTCTAGCAGTAATTTTCCTCAAAAGTAAGGTACACATCATTGAATAAAAATTGCTTCCTGAATTTAGAGAAAGATTTCATGAACAAATGAAGGTAATAGACAACATGGCTTGGTTACAATGTGATCTAGGCATACTACAAACAATAAACAGAGAGCTCTAGACTTTGTGTTGGCCTACGGTATCTGCAGTAGCTAGCTTCAAGTTCTTTTCAACAGAATTATCCTGGTAAAATGGTTGTACAGATAATATAGTTACTCCCTCCATCCCATAATATAACGCATGGTTAAAGTTGACACGGTCTCCAAAACTAATCTTTAGCTTATAATTTCTCATATACTATAAGGTTTGTAGCCACAAAATTATAACCATATGAAAGTAAATGTAAATCTCAATCTAATGATATAATTTTTAACAAATAAAATACATTTCATATTATACTAAATGGTGGTCAAATGTTTTAAAGTTTAAATCTTGAAATGCGCGCGCGCCTTATATTATGGGATGGAGGGAGTACCATTTTGTATGGAGCCTAACTCTTATATAATTCAACATAATGAAAAAACTAAAATTAAATGAAATCACCATGCAACTTTGAGAACTTAATCAATAATGCATACTTGTACACTATGTTCGTCAAGCATTTCATTGAGTATATGATATACACAAGCATGTGTAGAACATGAGTGTCCGGTTAACTTACCTTCTATTTCAAAGAGTTCTACACAAGCGATTGTAACCAAGATCGAGATCAAACCATCTTGCCTGTAAGACTGTAAAGAAAATAAAAGCTTTTGAACAAAAAGGAGAAGAAAGATGTATTACCTATCATTCTAACAAGGGTCGTCCGGGTGGGTGCACGGCACTTAATGGCGCCTTGGATGCGCTCTGCGAGCCGAGGCGCTGAGCTGCCGTGAGGAAGAGGGTTTGCAGCCTATGCCCTTCAGCCCCGTAGGCCTGTGTCCTCTCGTCCCTTCATGAATTCACCGGCTGCTCAGCTCAGCTCATGGAGCATGGGCACATAATGTCTCTCTCTCGGATCATCGTCTTCAAAACCTGTGTTCGCTACAGGACGATGGGATTGGGAACATGCAGCGCAGGGAAGAAGTACTCTATTAACGCGGGATTATGTAAGTACTAGTTATTTTTTTAAAAAAAATAGATCAATATGATTTTTTTAAACAACTTTCATATATAAACTTTTTTAAAAAAAACACACCGTTTAACAGTTTCAAAAGTGTACGCGTGGAAAACAATTTTTCATGGCGTTACCCTGTAATTTTCACTAGGACCCATACGCGAAAACTGCCAGCAAAAACATATCTAGGGGTGGGAGGCCATGGACCACCAGCGAAAACCGATTTTTGCTGGCGACCACGCTAAGATGTCCGCCATAAATAAAAAACTCTATTTTTTCGAGCGGACCTCTTAAGTGTCCGCCAGCGATCGCTGGTGGTAGGTAATAAAGACCGCTAAAAAATTTTTTGAGGCGAATAAAATCCACCGCGCGCCCACCGCCTAGTCCATCCTCGTCCTTATCCCTTCTCGCAGTCTCTCTTCCTCTCTCCCTTCTCGCGGTCTTTCTCCGCCTCTCTCCCTTCTCCGTCTCTCCTCCCTCCCTTCTCCACCGCCGCTAGCTCGTCGCCACCCCACCAACGCCGGCTGCCGTCGCCTCAGCTCCACCGCCGCATATCGATAACCGCTAGCGAAGATCGATATTTCCCTGGCCTTTTCTTTGTGGCGGCTGCAATTTCCGCTAGGAAAAACCTAAAATAGCCGCCACAAAAGATGATTTTCGTAGCAGTGGAGTGTTGGGAACTTGCTCTTGCAAACACACGGAGTTTCTATAAGAAATTGATCTGTGTTGTATATATATATTTTTAAAGTGGCCAGGGGTTTGTAGTTTAGTTTCGATTATCCCCAAGGATAAAGATAAATTAGCGACAATGAATCTAAATCAACATCCCAGCGCCATTTGTCACTAAAAAACTATGAGGAAATGGTTTAATTAGAATAAAAATCCTTGGCCAAGAAATAAATCTAATAGTATTGCCACACTCAGGAAAAATTATAAATCTAATAGTGAAAAGCAAGGCCTCACATGGAAATTACACCGCCAGACAGGCCGAACACTACTACACAGAAGGTTTTCTCGTGCGGTCGAACGGATTTTCGCGTGCGGAGCTTCGGCCCGTCTCGAGCAGTTCGTCTATAAAAATCGTTATTTGTGCGTGCGGGCGGCGCAACTGCACGGAAAAATAAAAAATCAAAATAAAATCGAAAAAACGAAACCCTAACCCTAGCCGTTGCCGCCTTCCCGTCATCGTCGCCGTCGTCTTCCCGTAGTTGCCGTCGCCTTCTTGTTGTCATCGCTGTTGTCGGAGGGCTGCCGCCCCCATCACGCCGCCGGATCCGCGCGGGGGGTGGCCGCCGCCGCCGGATCCACGCAGGGGGCGGCCGCCGCCGCCTTCGCGACGCCAGATCCGCGCAAGGCCTCCGCCGCCGGATCCGCGCGGGGGGCGGCTGCCATCGCCTACGCCCGCCGCACGCCGTCGTCGCCTTCGCCGCGGGCTGCCGCCGTCGCCGTCGACGCAGGCCGCCGCCCTCGCCTACACCCGCCGCCATCACCGTCATCGTCGCCTTCGCCGCGGGCAGCCGCCGTCGCCGTCGCCACAGGCCGCCGCCCTACATCCGTCACGTGAGGAGAGGAGAGAGGAGTGAGGAGAGGATTGGAAGGGCACGCATGAGGAGAGGATAGGAGAAAGAGCACTGAGAGAATAAAGGAGAGGAATGGGACCGAGGCGTGGAAAAAGGAAAATTTTGAAGTGGGTAGGAGGGAAAGAAGGGATGATTATTTTTCCGTGCAGCTCTCTTAATAGGCCCGCACGGAAAAATTGGTTTATTTTTCTGTGTGGTTCATTTAGGAGGACCACACGGGAAAATCGATTTTCCCGTGCGGGTGATAGCCCGACACCCGGTCCCCTATTTTTCCGTGCGGTTCCACTTACGAACCGCATGGAAACAAAAGGGGACGGCGTCCAGAAAAATCAATCCTCTAGTAATGGAAGAGCCGCCCATTTGCACATGTGATTTTCGTAAAAGAAGAGCATGTGGAAATCAATTTCATAGGTGGTTTTCATAACCGAGAAAAAAAAAGATACATCTTACGAAGGGGTCTAATAACAAATTAACAAATTAAATCCGGTTTCCTCATGCCTAAAAGAGCAACTGTTAGCCTCTGAGCTATGATGCGAAGGGGTCTAATTACGGAGGGGTCTAATAACAAATTAACAATTTAATTTCATATATTGATTTAGTTTGTAGCATCATAGTTATTAGACCGTAAATGATAGTAAATTAAATCAACAAATTAAATCCGGTTTCCTCATGCCCAAAAGAGCAACTGCGAGCCTCTGAGCTCTGCGGTCCCCTCCCCAATCTTCCCCATTCTTCCCCAATCCGGTTTCCATTGGTCATCACCATCCGCGCGATTCGCACAGGCTTGGAGCTCGCCGGCCGCGCTACCGAGTCCGGCCTCCAACGAGGAAGGGATGAAGCCAGAGGACGGGAGGAAGAGAAGTGCGACGGCAGTGGCGAGGAAATGTCGTCCGTCGGTCCCAAAGCGAGGAGGACGACCACGCCGAGCGTGGGAGGAGAGGAGAGTCGGGATCACCGCCGTATCGCCGCCGTCGTCGAGTTGTCGTCATCGACGCCCACCAGATCTGCGCTGCTGTCGTCGATTCGGTCGGTCCGGCACCGCCGCCTCTGCCGTCTCAGCCTCCTCGACCGCCGCCGCTCCGGATCCAGGCCGTCGCGTTGGCCTCCTCATCCACCGCCGCTCAAGATCCACGCCGTCACCATGGTCTCCTCGACATCCGGGCGGCGCTGGTGTTCGTCGTCGAGGTGGGGGAGAGACCGGCAGCAGTGGAGTTCGTCGCCGATGTGGGGAGAGGCCGGAGGCGGCGGCGGCGCCGGTGGAGCTCGCCGAGGTTGGGTGGGTGGGGAAAGTGGAGAGGGGTTGTGCTTGTGCGATTGTGTGGGGGTGCCTGGGTAGCAAGGTAGGGTTGAGATTTTGTATATTTTCTCCACCGTAAAGTGTTAACTGTAAAATTTATACTTGTTTATAAATTGAAAAAAGTATTAGGGCTGAAATCAAAAGTGATAGGGGCTGAAACGAAAAATCGAAGGCACCCATGAGACCATTTGCAATGTGGGGAACCAAAATTTGGATACGGTGCTTTTTAGCCTATGTGGCATTTTAGGGCCCATTTGATTTGGAGGAAAAACATAGAAATTGTAGAGAATTTCAATCCTATAGTAAAATTTCCTATGAAGCCCTTTGAAACAAAGGATTGAATTCTATCCAATCCTTTAAAATTCCTATGGAATGGACAATTCTATAAAGATTTTGGAGGAAATTTAGCAAGAGCTTCAACCTCTTGCTAACTTTCCTTTGAGTCTATCTCTCTCATCCAATTCCTGTGTTTTTCCTGTGATTCAATCAAACGGTCATTTCTGTGTTTTTCCTGCGTTTTACAATCCTCTATTTTACACTTACATTCCTATCAAAATCCTGCGTTTTTTCTATTCCTATATTTTCTCAATCCTGCGATTTAAAGGGGCCTTAGTTTCCTCGAGTGGGTAGCTTGCATTGCTACTACCCTTATTGCGCTCCAGAACCCATACCGGACTGCTCCAGTGAACCGGTGCCAGCGTTGTTCTCTCTGCAGGCGGCTGCAGCGACGTCTTCGTCCTTGCTGTCCCAGCCAGAGCTACACCGCGCTAGCCTCTGCCCGTCACCATGGCGCTGTTTACTTCACGAAAAAGAAATTTTTTAGATATCACGTTTGACCGAATGTCAGAAGATGTTTTTTTTTATACGAATGAAAAAACTAATTCTATAACTCGTCTGGAAATGACGAGAAGACGAATCTTTTGAGCCTAATTAATCCGTCATTAGCACATGTAAATTACTATAGCATTTATGGTTAATTATAGACTAATTAGTCTCAAAAGATACATGAAACGAAGAAGAACGGCAACAACTTCTCCTGTGCCTCGAGTCCTCGACAATTGCAGTCACCGGCCAGACCCCAGTGGATAGCCGCGGTGGTGATACTCCGGTCTGATTTACAATCTTGCTATGGGCTGTCTACGACGCATCGGGAAGCTCCTGATCACTCTAAACCTGGCCGGAGGAGGAAGACACAGCGGGCTGAATCCAATCGTTAACACGTGAATGAATGGCCGAGGAATTTCCGATGACGTGGCCCATGGAAGGTCAAGAGATGCCCGACTCCAAGGTCAGGTTTTGTCTTATAGAGATAGTGGCCCCCATCAATGGATCAACACGTTATCAGTCACTTGCTTTCCGCTGAGCGTACATAACAGAATAGAGCACGAAGGCCTAACGCAAATCGCAAGGGTAAGAACGGACCTCTCGCCAACAACCATTATTGGTACACTACACGTCATCGCCGTGGCCTCTACTTCCGAAGCAAAATTGCCCCTCCCTCTCTCATTTTTAGGGGTGGACAAAAAAAACCAAACCGAAAAACCGAACCGAACTAATTGGGACCGAGACCGAAAAATTCGGTCACAAATTCGGTCATCAATTGTAACTAACCGAATTTTATATGGTCTTTTCGGTCATTTAGTTCGGTTAACCGAAATAACTGAACTGACCGAATCACTGTGAAAGCCCAACACCAGCCAATAGCCCATTAGCTAGAAAACCCTAACCTTCCTTCCCACACCACACGATCCTTCCCACTTCCCAGTCCCCACATGCGCCGCCTCTTTCTCGATCTTTCTCCTCCTCCTCCCCGCCTCTTCTCCGCTTTCTCCTCCTCGCACGCGCCTCTCCGCCTTCTTCTCGCGCCGCGCCACCGCCTACCTCGCACCGCGCCTCTCCGCAGAACTTGCGCCGTGCCACCTTCTCCTCCTCGCGCTGTGTCGCCACCCTCTCCCCACACGTCTGCGCGCTCGCGACCTCCTCCTCGCGCTGTGTCGCCGCCCTCTCCCCACACGTCTGCGCGCCCACGACCTGAGGCCTCGATGATGGAAGGCTGATGGGAGACGCGAGATGGATGGGATCTGGAGTTCTGGACCGTGGAGTGGTTGAGATCGACGGGATCAATGGCTAGATGGATTTTCTTGATTTGATTTTTTTTCCATGAATCATGCTCTACTTGCTACTTGCTGGTGGCATCATCATATTTTAGTCCTTCTTCCCAATTGCTTTTTCATCGATCTTGTGCAGAGTATTCTTTTTTGGGAATTGCTACACAGCTGCCGGCTGAAAAAATTTGTTTTATCAGCTGAATTAGAGAGCGTTCGATTTTTCTTTTTTTTTGCCTGGTTTTTTTCATCTGGTTTTTTACGGACGATGGAAGCACCTCTTATTTTTTAAGTAGTATACATATATATATATATATATATATATATATATATATATATATATATATATATATATATATTATTCATTGTGTTAAGCTAACAATTAGGTGAAGAGATGTCCTATAAGATTGATCAATATAAAAGCAAATAATCGTTCCATATCTCTACATTAAATGAGAGTTGAAGGTCATGAAGATCTAGAATAGCAAGGTACTGTTAGTGATCAAAAGCTAATTTTCTTTGGTTTTTATTTAATGGGTTTCGCTACAATTGTTTTTGCCATGCTACTCTGGTGTGCACATTTCTCGGTAAGTTAGTTCTTACTAAGAAATGACCCATAGACCGGTTTTCTACCTTGGAAGTGGAATTCGAGGGTCGCTACAAAATCTATGAAATTGGAGACTGATAAAATAAGCTAGACAAACCAATAGATCTATACAAACGTGATGAAAATAACAAATATATCTAAAACAACTGTACGGTTAGAGAAATATGAACTTAGCCAGAATATCGGACTCAACCGAGAAGGTCCTAACTAAGCCGATAGGACCCTAAATTGTGATACAGTTAAAGATAGAAATACTATATCAGATAGGCAACACTTGAGTCAACTTGAATAGAATATCAGACTTAACTGAGGAAGTTCTAGCCACGCCGATACAAGCGAAGTTGACAGAACTTACTTCCTCGCTAGAGATTGAACTTAACCAATGCAGTCCTACTCGAAACTAAGAACTCGCAGGGATAAAAGGTGGCGATACGCTGAAAGTAATTGTATTGATCGATCTATGAAGATAGATTACACAGATCCTGGGTGTACATATTTATACCCTTGGGTTGATACTAGTCCCGACCGAACAAGATACAAGTTTCCTAAAGATAAAAGAGAAAAGATATTAGTCCCGATGAATAAAAGTTAAATAAAAGTTACTAAATCCTGTCTTATCCTATAATACTATACAAGTGATCCCCACTTAGTGTAGTTATTAGGATTTTGCTGAGTTCTAGTGAAGCCACGTCACTCTTTAATCCCAACCGTTCGATCGCGCTGCAAACGGTCCGATCCGTTCTATCCTACCCTAACCGCTCTGCCTTCCTTCTCCACCGAGCGTAGATTCTCCGCCGCCGCCGCCGGGCATACTCCTCTCCCCACGCGCGTGACTCCTCCCTTCCCCACCAGCCCGCGCTCGCTTCCTCCCACATCGCGCGCACCAGGCGTGGGCCCGGCGCCGACTGCTCTCGCTTCCTTCCCCAATAGCGCGCGTGCGTCAGGCGCGGGTCCTCCCCCGGTCGCTCCTCCAACCCCCTCCTTCCCGGTGCTTCTCCTCCACCCCCGCGCTTCTCCTCCACCTTGCCTCCGGTGCTTCTCCTCCGCCTCCCCCCCCGGCGCTGCCCAATTTGCCCCACCCCCTGCGCACAGACGTTGCCGCTCCGCCTCCCCCTCCCCGGCGATTCTTTATGCATGCCGTCTTGATGGCTCACATTAACGCAGTTACTCCCAGTGTCCGTTACGCGAAATCATCATCATCATTCACTTATTATAATGTGCCTTCGATCCACAAAAGCTCATGTCATTCGTCGTTCTCTACCATCCTTGTTTCATCCGAGCTTTCACTTCTACAAGGTTGTGTGTTCTCCTACGGGATCCATAGGTACGACTCAAAATGCTTCCAGTTATTTCATTGTTAGGGTGTTGTATTCTTCTTCGCCTCCTTTTCATCTCTTTGTTTTTTATATGTACAGAACGGTATTTCGTGATGCGTCACCCACAGCCTTCCTCTAGAGTGTATTTTGCAGCTCCTGTCGATTTTCGATCTGCAGAGATAATCCCAATATGTAGCACTTCCAGCCTTTTTTTACTGTTAAGTTTATATTCAGTTCAAGCAATTCCCATTGTGTGAATTCAGTTCAAGCAATTCCCATTGTGTGAATATACTTCAGTTGTTATATTTGGTCTTCATTATTGAATCCCGGGCTTCTCAGAACATGAACATAGACTCAATTGATCATCCAGTAACTCTTAATAAAGCCATTGGAAAAACAAGACTTTTTACTGTAGGAATGAATACTGATTCATCTTCTAATTCTAAGTTCCCTATCAGCTAGGTACTTAAAAGGAGTTTCTCAATTGATGATGCTATGCCAAATCCTATGCTGCCATTTGAAAAGGAATATCATCTGAACATGCTATTTATTATTGGCTCAATATTCCAACTGAGTTAATTTAGGGGCAATTTCGTTTCTAACCCTACTTCGATGTCTAATATTGATTTTACCCCTACTTTTAGGGTTTTCGTTTTTGCCCCCACTTTTTTGGAACCGAACTATCGTTTTACCCCTACTTTGGATGGTGAAGTTAACAGTGTTAAGTAATTGGCAAAAGGACATTTATACCCTCTCATATCTCTCTTCATTAATTATATTTTTGCCCCATTTTATGCATGTAGCTTTAGAACTTTATTTTTGTGAGTATATTTAAAATTAAATGAAGCACATTGACTAATATCTAAAGGGAACAGATAATTACATTTTACAAAATGTTGTCAAAATTTTGTTTAAGTTCTATCAAAATGCTGATTTTTGTCAAAATTTCATCAAATTCAGAATTTATCCAATTTTTTATATTAGTCAAAGCGCGTCATCTAATTTTAAATATACTCCCAAAAATAAAGTTCCAAAACTACATGTATAAAATGGGGGCAAAACCACAATTAATGAACATACATGAGAGGGTATAAATGTCATTTTGTCAATTACTTAACACCGTTAACTTCACCATCCAAAGTAAGGGTAAAATAAGCGTTTGGTTCAAAAAAAAAAGTGAGGGTAAAAACGAAAACCCTAAACAATAGGGGTAAAAATCAATATTAGACATCAAAGTAGGGGCATAAATGAAATTGCCCCTAACTTTAACTACCTAACTAATTCAACTTTCCAAGAGCAAAGATCAACTCCAACTCCCACCACCAATGAAATATACAAGTAGCCCAAGGTCTATTGTTCTCTCATATTTATCTATTCATCATATCCATATAAGACTATACTTACTAACTGCTAATGACAAATTCATTTCAGCACACCTATTGATAACACAGGAGTATCTAAAGATAGTACACCTCCAGAATCATCTGCAACTGTCAACATATCCACAGAAAAGAATATATGAGAATTGCATATTCTAACTACTTAATTAAATACATTCATTTATTCATTAAATACTTTTTTTAGTTTGAGTCAGACCTTAAAATTTCATAGAAATTCCCTCAGATTAAGTTTCAGTATTGTTTAGCACAATTTCAAATTAATTATTGTTGTTCTTATTGACAAATGTGCAGGCCAAATTTATAACATGGAAATTATTTTGGTTTGTAACATATTTTTTTGTAGTCAAGGGATTTCGATCATTTATCTGCAAAGGGATATACTGTTGTAACATAAATCTGGTTTCTTTAGGTCTACAAGTGATATAACGCTGTAAAAACTCATGGTATTACTAGGTTGAGGTTGAATGGCAGTATTGCACTACTGCAGCAATTGTTAAATGAACATCACTTGCTGCTTTCTTTCCTGAGGTCATTTCTGTTGCCTGGGCTGCATCAAGCTCAATTGTGAACTGAATGTGCATCAATCTAAGAACATGAGTTCGCCATGCCAAATGGATAATATGTAGAATAGTTAAGCATATGCTTAAGCCATTTTATTTGTAATACTCTTCCTAATATTCCCACAAAATAGCATCTATCATTATCTTAGTTGAGTCCAGGTTAAATATGTGTGTTGGTTAAACAGTTCTTGATTCTATGAATCAATCTTTCTCGGTTGGGACAGTAGCTGCATGTAGTTAATCGATCAATGTGCAATTTTTTCTATCCTTGATAATTAAGGATGTGCGGTTGGTGATAACTAAATTAGCTTCAGTAGTCCCAGTAGATATACTCGGCACTTTTACTTTACATAACTGAAGCTACTATTTGCTACTACTAAATAACTAGATTTATAAGCTATAGCAATTTGTTACAGCAACACATCTACAAAATAAAGCATTGATTTCAGTAAGGACTCCGTTGACAAAACTAAAAGGTATACCTCTACTGCACATAGCTCATTCAGTTATTTAAAATTTACTCTTACAAACATTTTATTCCTTTGCAATAATTTTCTTCTTCATGGGAGTACCAAACAACTTGATCTACCTTGTTGGTGATATGGGCCCGGGGTACGCACAGTAGAGGGAAATAACCTTCCCATCTGGCGGCGTGGCCGTGCGGCCTGGCCTTTCCCCACCTCCATGGAGGGAGATCAGGTAGCGCTGAGGTGGCCAGGGGCCTCGGGGTGCCACGTCACCCCTCTAGGGGGCGTGAGGCATGCTGCCCCAAGGCCCTCGCCTGGCCTCCACGTGGCAGGGTAAGTGGGCGGCGCAGGAGATGCTGTCCTGCGTCATTAATGAGCAGTGCCCCAACCGTCCCTCGCCGCATTTAATGCGGTGTGGGCGGATGCGCGGCACCGCTCGATTGACGCATGTCAATCAACCTTGACCAGTCTGTGACCGGTCGCAGGCGATAGGACGGGCGGTAGTGCCCCCACGTCCCACCCTGTGTCAGGCGGAGTCGGGGCAGGTATGCCCCGTCCCATCAGCACACTGCCAAGTGTGCCCCCTGTGTGTGATGAGCCCACCAAAGTCTCCATGCATTTACGAGGGAATGACATGGATGTTCCCCGTGTAAGGCGGAGGACGGTGTCGGACCCCACTTCGGGACAGACAACCACTTTACTTCCGGTTGAAGGCACGGATAGTGATCTGACCAGGGCCATGTGGGCCCCCCTCCCATGGAGGGGTAGATGTGAACGGTGCATGTGGTATCCCTTTGAACTATAAAAAGGAGGACCTTACCCACCGAGAAAGGGGACGACTCTCGATAGCTTGAGCTCTAGAGGAAGCATAGCTAGGGTTTCCCAGGAGCTCAAGATCCCTTGTAAGAATTCCACCATAATAACACACACAGGAGTAGGATGTTACGCTTGGTAGCGGCCTGAACCTGTATAATCCCTCGTCTCTCACACAGATCCGCAAGCGATCTAGTAGTTAGACCATAAGCGGAGATACGCTCTTGATCATCGCGCCTTATCCCCTGGCCAAACTCACAAAGGGGGGACGTGAGGTTTCACATCCCCCGCTAGAGAGGATCACTCCTCGACATACCTATTGGCAAACGTCAGAAGGAAGAGTTTGTACTTCTAACCCTCCTTCCAAATTGCAAAGTGAAAATATAATGCTAATTCCAATTTCTTATGAACCATTTCAAACAGCAAAAAGATCTAACCAGCAGTGAGCGATAAGTTAACACATAAATCTACATAATATGCATGGTACTTGCTCTTTACAGTACTTCAGATACAATACATCATCATACAAGCAAATGTCATTATGATTCATTCTAATGCATTGTCCAACGAAATTTGCAGCTCAATACATAATATACAACTTAAAGACTACAGACGCTTCCGAATAATCATATGCCTTGGTTACTATTTTCGCAGTCACGCTCTATTGTAATTTGTTTTCGTTGTCAGGCTATGTCCAAACTAAATACTCTAGGTGCTTCCAAATAATCACATCCATTGTGTTAGGATTATGGATACCACATACCTAATAGTAGTTGACTAAATCTCGACAGGACCCACCACATACCATGTCTTATACGGAAACAACCTTCGGATATAGGAGGAGTTCCGTATAAGGAAGGATGAATAGAGTTATACATGGAAACTACAAGGACTACTCGGATTATATCCATATTGGTTTCCCTATTTCTACTTGGATAAGGGGACACCTATGGGTATAAATACAAGGCCCCTTAGGAGGAGAGGGGACACGGAACAATAGATCAAGACACAAGATCAACATACAAGCCAACATGCGCCAAGACAAGACGCCGAATATCGACTTCAGAGATAAGCATGGTTAGTCCCCTACGGTGTCTACGGATACTATCAGGAGAGAAATAGCGTTGTCTTTAATCTCGCCGGATGCGGATTCGAGGAGGAAGGCTACCCTGTTGTCGACTACGAGTCAGCACTTCAGACCGCCAAGTCGACAACAGTTAGATAGGCTACCCCAAATATTATACTGGTGTGATTATGGTGAATAAGAGCAACGACTGGCTTTGGCCAACATGAGTAGGGTTATTACCTGACAATTCAGAGGCCCGAACCTGTATAAAAATCCTCGTCTCCGTCTTTTTTACTACAATCTCGCGTATATCCTAGTACCAACAATTCCCATACTATGCAAATACCGGAATCGCGACATCAAACGTCGACACATTGATTATTGTTTTCTCATTCCCAGTTCCCTTTCATGCTAACAAAACTTTCGTGTATCCTATCATATAATCAAAGTAATATTTACATATTATCTTTAGAATCCTTTTATTTTCAATACAAACTATTATTCTTTTTTTTCCTACAAAGTTCCGCAGCAACGCGCGGGGTACCTTCTAGTTAATAGATAGAATTAAGTTGTGATGCAATGGTCTTCACGATTCCTTTTTAACTTGGTCTCTTTTCGATAGGCTTCTCTCAACTGATCAACTTCTTTTATTAACCGAATCCATAAAAAACCGTACCAAATGTTAGCGTTAACAAACATATGATCAAATGTTATGTAAAAAATCAACGCCGTCATACATTTTGAAAAGAATAATATATAAGAAGTGGCCTTTTGTGTTAGCTAGCTAAGCTAATACTCCTCCGTCCCAAAATATAATAACTTATAGTATTTAGAATTTGTCCCAAAATATAACATCTTCTTCATCAATATTCTCTCCCCAACCAATCACAACTCTTCACCATTCAATTTTTCCACCTACCTCCACTTCTCAACTAATCACTAGCGTCCGATCATTTAATTTTATTTACTTTCTTAATAACCATGTCGAAGACAGAGGGAGTAGCAATTATGTATCGAGAAAATGGCTTATGGAAGATGCACACGTACAGGTGGAGGCCGCAGAGATAGATGGAGCTACAAGGAGCATATGTGTACCAAAAAGAGCTACATGTATGTGTAATAATCCAAACAAGCACGTAGTACAAGGAGCTAGTAGCACGCACATGCATGTAGATGGGTATAAACTCAATCTCTAGCTCTCACTGGTACGTACACCTCAAAAAGGAGCAAATTAAACGAGACGAACACACATAACAGGAAGCTAGCTGGACTGACCGGGCCGATCAATAACCATACACACATGCATGCATGGTGATCGATGGACCTAGCTAGCTCATCTTTTATTCCAGAATACAGATACTACTAGTAGTATTGGATACAGAATTCGGCTCCACACACATCGACCCAGGTGGCAACCGGCGCGCTGCTGTATATATATGATCATCGATCCGATCGATATAGCTCGATCACCTCACCCTGCACACGCACAGTACATATATATAGATTAGATGATATAGATACTTAATTATCATACAAAGCCATGCGTAATTATATATATTTAACGGAATATATAGGATTAGATGATTAATTACCTAGAGCAGTCGATGGAAGCGCTGATGGTGTAGGGGACGCTGACGCCGCACTTGGAGGGGATGCTGGCGGCGTTGCCGGCGTTGAGCCCCTTGATGCCACGGGCGGCGTTCTTGAGGCAGTTGCAGGCGGTGCGCCGGTCAGCGGTGGTTCTGGCAGCGGACTTGAGGCTCCTCACGCCGTTGCAGCAGGCCGCGGAAGGGCCGGCGCCGCCGCCGCGGGCGTAGGTGAGGCAGGGGCCAACGGCTGAGTTCACCTGGCCGCAGGTGATGGCCACGGCGGCGTGCGGGGCGGCGAGGAGCAGAGCTGCCACCACGGCGACCAACACCAACTGTGCACGGGCCATCTCGATCGATCCAGAGGATGCTAGCTAGCTGAGCTCAGCTGACTTGGCTACTGCGCTTGATGCTCGGTGTTGGTTAATTACCTTGCTGGTTGCTGCTGCGAGAGCTAGGATGAATGAGGAGAATACGCGGGAATGAAGGGGCTTAAGTAGATATAGAGATGCATGTATGTGTGGATGATGCATGAACGCAGGAGGAGCAAGCATGGCCGGTGTATGGTGTTTAGACGGTGCGTCTGTCCATACATTCATTCAATGCGATTGGGAGCTAGCTTAGCAGCGGGTGGTTGGGTGTTGGTGGGAATACAAGAGCTATGTCCCTCCATCTACAGTCGACAGCATTTTATGCCAGTTCTAAAACCGGCACCGATGACTTTCGATGACCGAAGTCATCGGTGCCGTCTCTATGGTGTTGGTTGGGATATCTGGCATCTAAGGGGTTTAACAAGCACTAAGAGGTTTAACAAGCACCAATTAAAGTTTAAGTAATAGTGATGGAATAATCCCTAAATTTTACTGACAACTTCGTATCGCTCATATTTCTGTTGCCTGGAAGCTTTTTGGGAGTAAGGTATATCAAGTGTATATGAACAAAGAAATAGAGAGAACTAAATAGTCGAATCACTTCGCCATTTAATTTTTTATTGTTCTTGTTCGTGTATGACAGCAAAGCCTTTTAAGCCTTACCATTAATTTTCTAAGATATTTCAAGAAATTCAATTCATATATTTTGCAGGCATGATTCAAATCCAGATGTGCCAAGGTGATGGGCGTAAAGCAGCCACAGAACAGATACATCATACATTAGTGTAAACAGAGGAAGGAAATGAGGTGCTTACAGGAGTCAGATCATAGGCAGACATCATTCAAACATATATTTGTAAGAGATCAACCGACATGCATATAATTTGCTAAAACAAAGATGCTCCACTGGAAATCAGGACCTGAAAGCTTCCATTCTTGCCTACTCCTTATCCAAAAGAATTTCTCCCGACTTCTCACCTGCAATTATTTATCATTTTTTTAGTGAATGTCAATTATTTATCATTCTATAGATCAATCTTAAAAAAGAGACCATTATGGATCCATACATTTTGTTTTAGGCTAAACATGTGATCCATCTTTTTTCCGCCTTCTATTAAACTCTGTCAGTGATTTACTCCAGAGAACTTTGTTGTCTTACAGTGGATTGACAACTCATGTGTGCTGTGAACAATCAATTGGCAATTTTTGTAACCTAGGTGGCAATTGTGCAGTGAACAATCAATTGACAACTCTTATAACTATAGATATTCATTTTTTTTTCTCTAAGGAATGGTAAATGATCTTTTTTTTTTCTCTAACGACAGATATTATACAACCACCTCCGAATATATATCAATTGTTGTCAAAGATGTATATATCATCGTAAATTAAACAACCACCTTTGAATATCTACCTGAAAAACAAATTATTGTCTTTTGGCAGATTTGGAATTCCATATATAGCAAATGGAAAATCTAAGTCCTTACTATGTCTTTTTTGTCCCTTCCTCCTCGTTGATGTAACACGTGCATCGGTTATCTCCGATACCTCCCTCTAAAAAGTAAACTAAATAAAGTTGAGTAACAACCGTATTCAACAAGCCACCACTACAAGATACATTAGTGCATATAGGGATTTAAGAATGGCTTAGTTTATTTGCATCGAGCTGGTTGTCACAAACCATTTCATTGATCCATGGCTTAGCGATTTTAACTGAAAACAAACGTTATGTCCACGTTAATATCCATCAATGCGAGCTGCATCCACCTCCCCAAGCTTTCTCCTGGTTCCGTTTACCCTCGTGTTCAATTTTGACTTGGATGTATGCCAACATAATCCATATACCTTCCCAAATTTCATATAATCAAGTTTAAAACTTCTAGACTAGTCAAGAGTAGTAGATGTCCTGATGCTCCTTCAAGCGTGAGCATAGATATTCGAATAGATTTATTTTTTTCACCCTACAATAGATGTATGCTTTATCCTCAATCTGTAGCGCACCCAACACGTAAGATTTATCACGGCTCAGGCTTTCGATTTCCCTTGCATTACAGCACCTGCGCCAAAGACAATTAATTCTCATTCATCACTGGTGTACTTTTTCTAGTAACGTTTGAATATTCGTTTTATTCAATTTTTTTGTGTAAATATGAAAATATTTATGTCATGCTTAAAGAACATTTGATGATGAATCAAGTCACAATAAAATAAAATAAGTAATAATTACATAATTTTTTTAAATAAAACGAATGGTCGTTGGATAAAAAGTTAACGGTATCATACAACAATAAAATATGGAGGTAGTAGTATGTAATTTTCACCGTATATTTTCTCTGAATGGGAAGCAGGGTTATACAACCTATTTACCCGTGTACGCGTTAATTCGAGTGGATTAATTCCTGTTGGGGGCAAACGTGGTCGCTTGACACGCGGAAACTTCTCCAACCTCGTCGCCGGAAATCCTTGACCAAGCTTCATTCCCACGAGCTTCTCAACTTTCCATCCAGTAACACGATAACACGGCCATAGTCCCTAACACGGCGGCGGAGTCAAATACCATCTCGCGCTTTCAACGTATACTTGGCATTCGCCCATCAAGCACAAGTTAGGCTGATCAGTGATCACTATTATCCCACAATCAACACCTTTTTCTTTTAGGCTTCGGAATCATCAAAAATTAGCTACCAAAAAAGATGTGCCAAGTGCTGACAAGTTCCAGCCAAGTACATAATTTATTGATGAACAATAATTAAAGCAGAAACATGCAATGCGCTTTCTGAGCCACTGCACTTTGAGAGAGCAGACTCACGCGGCAAATAAATTAGAGTATCATAGATTGCACATTTTCAGAAAGTACCAACTGTTGTGAATATTTTGAGATTTTAAATATACATAAAAAATCGAGAACAGACCTTAATAAACATTTTTTACATGTCGTTCTACAGTTTACACGTGCCAAAAGTGGTTACTTTGCTCATCACAGGATTCAGTTCACAAATTTCGCAGAAAAGAAACGTGCCAGGGGGAATCGATGGGAACTTTGATAGACTGCAAATTTTCAGAAAGCTAGCATTCTTGAATATGGATAAAATTCTTAAAAAAAGGCATTCAATTTTTTTTTTAGGCTGACCACTTCTTCTGTTGTACCTGTCGTTCAACAACGTACAAAAGTATAATCAACCATGTAAGCGAGCTTTACTTTTGTAAAAACACATTTACAAAAGGAAACCGATTGTAAACTGAATCTTCTTGAAAACAAAACCGATTGTAAACTGTAAAAGGAAAACTAGACAGCAGACACACTATTCAATTATGAATTATCAATTCCTTGCTTATGTTACGCCGAGGAGAAAATTGTTCGTCGAAGACTAAACTGTCATTTAAATTCTTCAAGTAAATATTTGATGAATTCCAGAATTGCTTCATCTTTATACGTTTCCGTGTCATTGTTATGTTACTCAAAACCAAGCTAATATTATCTAAGGCTAAATAACGAGGAGTTATTATAGTTTAGAGCTGAATAATGTTGGTTTTAAACGCGGGATCATTTTCTAACTTCGGTTAAATTAAATTCACTTTTTCTGTTTCTCTATATGTGGTTTCATATCCTTAATACACTGACACTTTTTAAAAAAAAGATGTGTGAGAGGACCTTATACTTGAGATAAATTTAAGTTATGTGACAATTGTTACCACAGATAAACCATTGCTCACAAAATATATCAACAGAAATAGAGATCAAATTTGCCCAAATTCCAGAATCCAATCCGGCCTCATGTGATAATATTGAATTCAAACGGACCATAAATCCTACACATGAGCTTCATTTTGGGCATATGCGTACTTGATAGTAATAGTTTGGAGGTGTTTTTCCAACTAATCCAACCTCACCTCCAAACTACAAATGAACCAATGACAATGGCAGAAATAAGATGATGCACCATCTGTAACAGCCCTATGAACTTGTAACTTCATCTATAACCCAGGTCTGAGTGGGTGTGTCCCAACTTGGTAGAGCATGATCGTAGGGACCACATGGTCATCCTTACATCTATTTACAAAGTTAGGTATGCGTTCACTATTTCTCAGGTTCTGCTAGATTAACAGTTAGTTACTACTCCGTCCGTCGCAAAATATAACAATTTCTAGCCTTTAAAATTTATCCTAAAATATAACAACTTCTCCACCAACATTCTCTTTTCAACCAATCACAACCCCCCACCATTCAATTTTCCTACCTACCTTCACTTCTCCTCCAATCACAACACTCTCCCATTTAATTATATCAACTTTTATTAATAACAGTGACCAACTATAAAAATGTTTATATTTTGGAATGGATGGAGTACTATTTTGCCTGTAATTGCACGTATCAGTTAGACCGCCTAGCTACTTGTCTTTGGAACCCCGCTTTTGTGAGTAATTTAGATTGCTTATTCATTTTATTATTGGTAGTTCTCAATTGCTTGTAGGAACAAATGCCATTGGGGTTTGGTTGATCGTGCCCTGACAAGATCACGAGCATCCTTGGAGTTAGTGTAATGATCACTAAGATGCATCATCCCTATATAGTTATAGTCAAGTCGTTAACTTATTTTCCAAACTATCATCAAAATATCAGGACACAAGATTAGGACACCTAAGAGAACTTCATTCAGGAAACAAAGTACCAACACAGAAAAAATCGCTCCAAAAAAAATTACATTCAAAATGAACAAAATCTTCTACATTTTCACCGATGCTGCCATTGATAAAAGAGAGGAGGAATATAGAACCAAGCATGAACTCCAACGCACAATGACTTTTGAAGACCGCAATAAAAGCAAAATGTAGATGCACAGTTGATAAAGAGATGCTAAATTTTACATTGGAAAATGATATTTCTGATATATTTTCAGGCACCATAAAACCTCTTAAAAATAATATAAGAAGAGTGATTGCTTTGCTGATCACTTAGTTCATCAAAAGATTTTTCGATGCTAAAGATCAGATTAGAATTCGAGGCTTTTATATAAAAATTCATATAATTAATTAACGTATAAGAAACAATTTAGTTTGCAGAGATAATTGAAAAAGTTTCTCATAGCAATGATAACATTTGCTGAGATCACAGATTTGTCAGGC